CTGGCTTTGCTCCCCGTTTCCCTGGTCTGGGGAGACGTGGAGCAAAGCCACGGAGCATGCGGGCAGCCCAGACGCGCCGCGGCTGTCCCGCTGCCGGCGTCCTCAGAGGCTTTGCTTCCTGTCTCCCTGGTCTGCTTGTCTTCAGCAGACCAGGGAGACGGGCAGCAAACCCCATTCGTAACTGCTGATCCGACATAAGTCGGATCCGTGTAACTCGGGGACTGCCTGTACTGTACTTATCTGGGAAAGGGCGGGTGTTCTAGCCTCTTAACACAAAGAATAAAGAGGCCAGCCTATTTTAAAAGACACATTTCCTGAAGCTCAGGAGAGATGGTGACACAAACATATGATGTGCAAGGAAGCAGAATAAAATGCAGTCACCAGAGGCAGGGCCTGCCTAAGCTTTGAGGGAAATGCTAACCTGTAGTACCTGAGACATGTAAGGTTCCATGAGTCTTTTATTGTTTTAACTCTGTTCTCTAAGAATGTTATTTTCCTGTGGTTAAACAAACACTTTGTTTTAAAGAAGCTGTTCTTAGTCACTGCATTAAACTAATGGTTACAGCTTCCCAAAGGAAATCTTTGGAAAGAGTCAAACTCACCCAGACCTGTTGAGGAAACACTATCAGTAAACACAAGTGCTGCAGCCCAGGAATCTGAGTCTGTGAGCAAGAAAAATACAGGATTACACCCTAACTTGTGTGAAGGCACAGGGCCTTTCATATAAACATATACTCAGGAGAGACCAAAAATGAATCAGAGGTGCCAATTACACTGTAACAGAGACACCCACAAATTCTGAGTGCTCCCCTATTCCTGCCCCCTGCCCAGCCAGTCCTGGTCATCCACATCCCATCTCCTCAGGCAACCTGTTTCTTCTCTCATCACTAGCCTTTAGCCACCCCTACCAACTCCCAATCACACTCCCAATGGTCCCCTTACAATCTCAGTGTCCAACACTTCCCCACAAGATCTTTGTCCCAGTTTCTTTGCCCAGACAGTTACAATTTTCACCCCATACCAGGATCATCATCAAAACTGTCTCCCTGCCCCACCATCTCTTTCCCCCACTGGTTCCCAATTCCAGTCTCCTTTTCCATCCAGAACCACTTCCACCCCATCTCCTCATCAGATATTAGTCCCTTCCCAAGGTCCCAAACCCCATCTCTTCTCGTCTCTTCTCCCCTCGTCTCCTCACAATGCCTAGTCCTAGTTTCCCTTCTCCCTCCCACGCCTCCAGTCTCCAATACCAGTCTTGTCCCCCACTCCAGGCTTATTTTCTCACTCTTCTCCCCAGAGAAGACGGTTGTCCTCTCTGAAGGTCATTCAGGCAGCTTTCTCCTCCACCCTGCCTAGGCCCAGAAGGGACACAGTGCACAGGCGAGACAAGCTTCCTTCTCTGAGTTCTGGGGTCCAAACCCAGACCCAGAGCAGCTGAACTACAATGTATTTCTTTGCTGGGTATTTCTCTGATGCAAATAATGCACAAACCAATTTAATGACAAGACTAAACCCCAGCTTTTCCCATATTTAACTGTCACTTTGCATCACAATACCAATGTAAAGCAGATCTGGAGCCATCTTAACCAGCCATGAGAAGATCACCTCTGCAAAGGAAGCCTCCAGCAGTATAAAAACAGCACTACAGCTCATGTCACTCCTAGACCTGTGACCTACATAGGTGGCGACTGGAGAAAGGTGTTGCAGGAACTTGATGATCCTGACTTGTCATTATTGTCCCTTTGGGGCTATGGATGTCTGAAGTAACCCAAAGAAGCCTCCAGGCCGAGTCCAGACTACGGGGGAATGCCGGCTTAAGGTACACAATTCTAGCTACATAAAGAGCCCAGCTGAAGTCAACATATGTTAAGCCAGGCTTCGGCACTGTCTTCACAGTGGGAGATCAACAGGAGACACACTCCTGTAGATTGCAGGCAGAAAGGGGATACTGATTCCCACATACACAGAGGGAAATAAAATAAACTGCAAAGATACAAATCAGGAGTGACACCAATCACATTACAAGCTAATTAATTTTCATGTCATTTGCTTATTTCCTGGATAATGTCCCCGTAACACTTTTTCAAGTATACCACACTAGAGTTACTGCACAAAAGGCATGGGGTAGAATGAGAGGGGCGGGAAGGGGATTGGATTAGGAAGATAGGTGGCTTATGAAAGGAACTTTAATAGCTGTTAAAAATTGTGGGAATCCCTGCACTGAAGCACACAGAACCTCAGGTTCTATGAGGAGTAACGGTAGTTCGAATTAGAGAGCCTAATTCGAACTACCTATTCCATGCAGCGTGTAGCCGCGGGCACGGAGTCCGCACTAAGGGGGATTTAAAAATGGCAGTGCCCGGCAAGATGCAAATGAAGCCCGGGATATTTAAATCCCGTGCTTCATTTGCAACTTTGAATGCCTACATTAGCCACCCTAGTTCAAACTAAGGTGGCAGTGTAGACATACCCTCAGTTTCTGAGGTAAAATACCCTACCTGACCAGAAACTTGCTTCAAAGGCTTAGCAAACTTTTTCACCCGAAGAACCAATGTAGATAAATATCTTACAATAGGAAATCAACATGTAAAAACATCTAGTGTCAGACAAGCTAACTGTAAACATGTAGGGACATGCATAATAGCACAAGTGGTTGACATGCACCAATAACTACAATCCAAGTAATTTAAAATGGGCTTGTTAAGTTATTTGCTTTGGTAAGCTTAATAGAACCAATGACATGTAAAAGATACAAAAAAATGTAGAGGAAAAAAAATACTTTTCAGTGTGCTAAATTTGCACAAAGAAAAATGCAAATTAAAGTTTTCCAAAGACTTATTTTGAATTACTGTTATCACCAAGATTAGTATTGTACTCTCCACAGAGGAAACATTAAATTTCAAATTATCGATTGTGAAGTAGAAATAACACATAAAAGTAGCATTGAGATTTGAGCCAACAAGTGTCATAAATTATACTGACATATTCTTTCTTCCTGAAATGAAGTACTTCTCTTGGCACTGCATTTTACAAACAGTCTGTCTCCTACTGAATGTGCACCTTTAGACAAAATAACCTATCCCTGCCTCAGTTTACTTAACTGTAAAATGGGTGAAATACTTCTTGGCCTTATGTGGAGAACATGGGAGAGCTGTATTTTTCATTAATCATATATATATTTATGCTAAGGAATTTCCATCGACTACTTGATTAGTTGATAAAAGGGGGGCAAGCTGCCACTGCAGGCTCTACACTTTAAATGCAGTAAGAGCCAGTGAAGAGCAGGAGTGGCCAACCAGTTAGACACGAAGAGCCAAAAGAGCTGTGGATAGTAGTGAAAAGAGCCACACACCCCTCCACCAGAACCAGGCACCCCAAGCCCCACCTAACACAATGCCCTCCCCCAGACCCAGGTCCTCCAGTTCCCCCCACTCTAACCCCAATGCCCTTGCCCTCCCACAAAGCCAGGCTCCCCCAGACTCTTCCCATTCTAACCCAATGCCTGGGTCTCACTGGAGCTGCCATCGCCACAGCCACACTCTTCTCCCTCCAGGAACTGGGGCACAGGCACAATGCGGGCATGCAGCTCCGAAGGAGCTGTAACCCTGAGAGCCACACTTTTGTGAGCAAAGGGCTGCATGTGGCTCAAGAGCCACAGGTTGGCCACCCTTGGTGTAGAGCCACAACAGAGTTAGCTCCTGGAGGGGCGGTGTGAGCTGGAACTGAATAGTCACAGCTCATGCTGCCCCCAGGATCACTGTGACTCTGCCTCCCCTGCCCATCCCCCACACCGTGGAGACGGTGCTGGAGGGAACTAGCTTTTAAGCTGGCTCCTCCCAGCACCTGCTTCCCCTGCCCCTTGCTGCCTCTGATATAGAGGCACTGGGAACAGGCGAGTGCAGGCTGACTAGTCAAGTACTCACTCAATTACCTGACAAGCCTATGTTTATTAGGTAGTCAATTACTCAACAAGTCACTTACATCCCTAATTTATGCCTATTTGATTACTATCATATGTCTGTTCCACATTTATAATGAGCAAGCTTAGGCTTTGTCTGCATCTGAGCTACTCAACTTTGGGAGCCCCAGGGGTCACAATGATACTCACAGCACATGCTGAGGGCCGCAACTTAAGTGTGGTTGTATATACATGCAAATACATATGCAAATATATGTAAATAGTGTCTTTCACACTGACATGCATGAATACAGGGGCAGAAGGAGGTGCAGAAGACAGACACTGAGGCCAAGTCTACACTGGCAAGTTACTGTGCAGTAAATCAGCTCCGAGCGCTGTAACTGGCAAGACACTTAGGCTATGTCTACACTACAGGGATCTATCAGAAAAAAGTACGCAAATTGCACTCCGCAATTTATAGCATGTTTTATAAATAATTTGAAGTTAAGTCTCTTCATATACATTTAAAGGAGTGGAGCTCACAATACTTTAGTGCTCCAGTGCTGCACCCACAACCTGCTGGTTCCACAAAAAGCAGGATGACATGCTTGGCAGTGACTCCACCTCTGTCCCAAAGATCCTCGTGGATACTTTGGGACCACAGAGGCCATCCCATAGTGGAACAAGACAGGAGGAGTAAATTGTGGACGAATGTACTGAGGGGGACCCAAACCCAGTTAGACATCCATAGATGTTGAGCCAGTCGCAGCAGTTGGAGGCTGTGGGGGATGCATCTAGTAAGTGGGCTTGATTTCTAGAACCATTAAAGCAAGTTGCTGGGAATGGGATGGTTGCTGGGAATGGGAATTGGGTCTGTGTTTTCCTGCTACCAATACAGGGCTACTCAGTCGCAAAACAGGTTACTAATGCAGCCTCTCACTTCACAGTAATCTGCCTCACAGATCTCACTGAAAGTGTCTAACAGCTGCTGAGCTACATGTCTGCATAAGAGTTTTGGAAAGGCTGCTACGTTAAGGGAAACATTCCCCGCCCCCATGCTGTGAGTGGGGGGACCATTACTACACACAACAAGTTGCGTATGGAACTGTACGGAATTTGAAGTCAACTAAAAGACCCTCCTTTGCTTCTATGCTCACTCTAAGCAGCAAAAGGATGAACACGGCCTTTGGAAATTGAGTGACCATTACTAATGATCGGGCCCCACTGCAGTGCTCTCCCCGAGTCACACCTGCACCAAAGAATTCCCCTGTCCCAGTTGTGAACTCACTATTGTGGGGTTCTTATATGAATTATATGGGTTATGGCAGTGCTATGTCTAGTGTTAACAATGGACTCTCTAATAAGTTGCAGTTTGGCTTCACAGAGTTAGCCTTGGCATGGCAGTCTGCACGGATATCACCTGCAGAGAGGCTTTGCAGGGCTATTAACAAGAGAAGTTTTTGTGTGATGTCATTAGTCAGGCTAATGCTGAAAAGAAAGAACTGAAGGAGTGGAAGGACAGTGAGAGGAAGGAGAAGACGAAGCTGACTTCTAAACCTCATGGAGCACCAAGCAGACCTGCTGCAGATACTGCTAACGCTTCAGATGGAGCAGTTGTATTACATGCCCTCCCTACAGCTGGTATCCCAAAACTGTTTTCCATACATTCAACACCCCTCGTCATCAACACAATTTGTTCATCACCCTCTCCCCAGGCAGCACCTGCCACACTCCACACCAGCCCCCTAACCTCCATCCATGCAG